CCACGAACCTATGGTCACCTTATCTTCGACAAAGGAGGCAAGGATATACAATGGAAAAAAGACAACCTCTTTAACAAGTGGTGCTGGGAAAACTGGTCAACCACCTGTAAAAAAATGAAACTAGAACACTTATTACTAATTTTTTAAGGAATCTCCATACTGTCTTTCATAGTGGCTGTATCCATTTACCTTCCCACTAGCAGTGCAAGAGGGTTGCTGTTCTCCACATCCTCTCCAGCACTTGTTTGTGTGGATATTTAGTTCATGGCCATTCTGGCTGGTGTGAGGTGATACCTGTTTCTTTCTATAGTGATGTTTCTCTGAGATTTCTGAAGCATTCTCTGATGCTGAGTATAGTTTCTTTTTTATCCTTAAAGATTTTTAATAACTGCCCCAAATCCTTGCTTTTATTTTCAACATTTGGTCATCTCAGCATCAGTCCATTTTGTTACATGAGCAAACAGGCTCAGAGAAGTTACGATGACTTACCCAAAGTTATACAGTCAGTAGTTGTGGGAGAGGGAATCTAAGCAGTGTCTTCTGACTCCAGATCCCTTATGTTGCCCTCTGCACTGCACGTCTCTTCAGACTTTCTGTCATGACGCTTCCCAGGGAAATTTAGCATTTGAGAGAAGTAATCAGTAAATAGATTTTTCTGGCCAAGTTATAATGGCTACAATGTACAAAAGATAAGGTCTGTGATTAAATCTGGGGGCTTTAGTCCGTGTTCATTAAATTTCCAAAATTCCCACTATTAAAAGTAGCTCCTCACTTGCAGCCTGAGTGTGTGATGGTGGTGGTGTGGTGGCCGTGCGCCTGGTGCTGAGGAAGGAAGGGAAAGCTCACTGTTCGCAGCACACCTCCCGCAGCTTCAGCCTAAGCAGGGAGCAGGGGCTCTGCCTGATTTCACGCACTCCTGGAGACCGCTGGGAAGGATAAAGGCACCAGAGGTTTCCTTTAGGACTGGGCTTATTCTCTGTGCTGTCATGACACAGCCTCTGAAAAAGCCTCCCTTTGAAACGGAGCAGGACCCTGTGGTTCAAGTCCCCCACCCCATCATGTCCTCTGCCTGCCTTTTGCCTGTGGAAGACTTTAGTCAAAGAATAAGTTTAATCAGAGAAGTGAGAAATGTGGAAACAAAGGAAAACAGTCTAAGGAGACTAAATAACAATAACTTAGTCATTAAACATCATCAGGGACATTTACTTCTTTCTCATGGGCTGTAGATAATATTCTGAGCCATATCCTGTGAGCTGTCTTATAGATATTAAAACACCAGGTGGAGAAGTGAGAGAGTCAGCTCCTAGGCAGGCTGATAAGAAGTCCGGGGGTCCCCAAGGAGAAGAGGGGTCTGGGGTTTTCAAGGAGGAGGAAAGGACAAGCTCTTTTTTTTCCTCTAGATTCCTTAGTCTTAGTCACATAAAACGTTTTTATCTTTAAGCCTCAACTGATGATTACACAACAGTCAACTCAGTTTAAACTCTATACTCTGTACTAACAACAGTGTATCCTGATTGAGGACAGTTTCTCCTTCCTGAAAACCTTCTGGCTAATCCTGTTATCTTAAAATGTAAATTATGGGAGTGGGTCTAGCAAGATCTTTACAACCTCTAGACATTCTTTTGATTCATTGTAATAACCAATTAAAAAGTATATAACTTCCAGATGTTCAAGCTGGTTTTAGAAAAAGGAGAGGAAATTGCCAACATCTGATGGATCATCAACAAAGCAAGAGAGTTCCAGGAAAACATCTATTTCTGCTTTACTGACTACGCCAAAGCCTTTGACTGTCTGGATCACAATAAACTGTGGAAAATTCTGAAGGAGATGGGAATACCAGACCACCTGACCTGCCTCTTGAGAAACCGTATGCAGGTCAGGAAGCAACAGTGAGAACTGGGCATGGAACAACAGACTGGTTCCAAATAGGAAAAGGAGTACATCAAGGCTGTATATTGTCACCCTGCTTATTTAACTTATATGCACAGAACATCATGAGAAACCCTGGGCTGGAAGAAGCACAAGCTAGCATCAGGATTGCCGGGGAAATACCAATAACCTCAGATATGCAGACGACACCACCCTTATGGCAGAAAGTGAAGAGGAACTAAGAAGCCTCTTGATGAAAGTGAAAGAGGAGAGTGAAAAAGTTGGCTTAAAGCTCAACATTGAGAAAACTAAGATCATGGCATCTGGTCCCATCACTTCATGGGAAATAGATGGGGAGACAGTAGAAACAGTGTCAGACTTTATTTTTTGGGTCTCCAAAATCACTGCAGATGGTGATTGCAGCCATGAAATTAAAAGATGCTTACTCCTTGGAAGGAAAGTTATGACCAACCTAGACAGCATATTAAAAAGCAGAGACATTACTTTGCCAACAAAGGTCCGTCTCGTCAAGGCTATGGTTTTTCCAGTGGTCATGTATGGATGTGAGAGTTGGACTGTGAAGAAAGCTGAGTGCCAAAGAATTGGTGCTTTTGAACTGTGGTGTTGGAGAAGACTCTTGAGAGTCCCTTGGACTGCAAGGAGATCCAACCAGTCCATCCTGAAGGAGATCAGTCCTGGGTATTCATTGGAAGGACTGAGGCTGAAGCTGAAACTCCAATACTTTGGCCACCTCATGCGAAGAGTTGACTCATTGGAAAAGACCCTGATGCTGGGAGGGACTGGGGGCAGGAGGAGAAGGGGACGACAGAGGATGAGATGGCTGGATGGCATCACTGACTCGATGGGCATGAGTTTGGGTAAACTCTGGGAGTTGGTGATGGACAGGGAGGCCTGGCGTGCTGCGATTCATGGGGTGGCAAAGAGTTGGACCGACTGAGCGACTGAACTGATCTCCCTTGCTAGCACTAGCGAGGGGGCACTCTTTCTGTCCCCTTCTGATGTCTGTCAGAAGCTTTCTGTACCTCTTTTATACTTTAATAAAACTTTATTACACAAGGTCTTCCCTGATGGCTTAGACAGTAAAGCGTCTGCTTATAATGCGGGATACCCGGGTTTGATCCCTGGGTTTGGAGGATCCCCTGGAGAAGGAAATGGCAACCCACTCCAGTACTCTTAGCTGGAAAATCCCATGGACAGAGGAGCCTGGTAGGCCACAGTTCTTGGGGTCACAAAGAGTCGGACACAACTGAGCGACCTCATTTTCACTTTACTTTCACTTTATTACACAAAAGCTCTGAGCCATCAAGCCTCATCTATGGCCCCAGATCGAATTCTTCTCCTCTGGAGGTGTCTTTCATGGTTTAGCAGCCTTTCAGAAGTTAACTATGTGATGAACAGTTAACTACGTAAAGCAGTTAACAACTTTATCCAGGACTTGAGCTGCCACAATTCTGAGAATTGACTTCAAAGACATGGGAACAGGTGCACCCCAGAACTGAAGATTAACTGTACCTGTCAGTACCTGCCAAGATGATGCCGGTCAGACCACCAATGACCAGTTGAAGATGCCTGTTAGAGATGACTGTGCTGTTTGTGCATGTAACCTCCCCCCACCCCACTCTGTCTGTAAAAGCTGTCACCTCCTGCTTGTTGGGTGGTGTGGGGGGGAAGTCGGCCTTTGGACAGATGTCCGCCACCTCCCCCGACCCGTTGCCAGCATCTGAAGTAAAGCAAATTTTATTTCCACCAATGTGGCCTGATTATTAGCTTTTGAGTGGCGAGCAGCCAGACCCCCAGATGCGGATCCCCTTTCAGGTGCTGTTTCTTCTTTCAGTAACACTTTCACGTGTCAGCTCTGATCTAATACTTTTTAGGATGGGAAAATGTCTTCGTTTGTAATTCATATTAAGAGGCTTAAGATGGAAATGAGAGGATGAAGTGTTTGAGCTGGCGTGATGACACAGAAAAAAACAATATTAATGACAGCTCAGCAGGCGCCCTGACCATGGGCCAGGCAGTGTCCTAAGAGCTTCTTGTGTGTTGTTCCATTTTAATACAACAGCCGGGATGAAGAAATAGTATCTGTTTATAGTAAATAAAACTTAAAGACTTCAGAGGTGACTCGTCCTCAGCCACAGTTAAAAGGTGACAAAGCTGAGATGCAGACTCAGGAACCCCAGCGTCCACGTCTCGACTGCTTTTGTGGCTGAGCCCACCCTGGCAAGGTTCTGCACCAGGAGCAGTGACTGGACTGCAGATACGCCTCTTTCCTTTTGCCCCCTGCAGAAGCGGATCCCCTTTCAGGTGCTGTTTCTCCTGCTCCTCAGAGCCGCCTCAGTTGGATGCCCAAGAGGTCACAGGGAGGATCCTGTTGGCTGCCCAAGGGAACTCTTCTCCAGTGACCTTTTGCCTCTAATCCATGGTCTAAAACGTGTTTGCACTAGAATGGAATGAGGTCAGCAGCAGAGATTGCTGTTAATAAAATAACAGATTCTGAGGAGAGGACTGGGAAGGAAAACAAATGCAGTGTGAGGAGCAAGAGCAGAGTAAAAGGAAGCCAGGTGGTGAAAGCTTCCTTCTGCCCTGCCGGGGTCATCTCTCCCAAGCACATTTGTCTCTCCCTGTAAACCACTGCGTGGAGACAGTGCTGCCTCCGCTGAGGGCTGAGGATTCTCCGTGCAGGTTTCTCTGTGACAGTTTATATGACAGCTTGTCGGGGGCATTGGGTATATGGCTGGCCTCGGGTCTGGAATGTTCTTGATGTGGATGGCAGGTCTGTGTGGAATCCTCCACTGCCTTCTACACGAGTAGGAGTTTCAGAGCTGCAGCCTGTAAGTCCCGGGAAATACTAAACAGTTTGTGTATGACAGACTATCGTCCCAAAGAGATGTGGTCAGTTTCCGTATAACTTTTTAACCTGGGCACTGCTTTTGGAACTGCCACTGGAAGGAGGGCACGGGAGGGGAGCAGCTGGGACTGCAGGCTGCCTGGGGCGACGCTGCTGCCTCCGGGCTCAGCCCACCTCGGGCCACGTCAGCAGAAAGGGGAACTGTCCCGCTGTGTGTCACTCAGGACGCCAGTTGAGCTCTGCTTTGATTTTCACTGCTCAGGTTTTTAAGGAGGAGAAGTACCTGAAGGACGCGGTGGAGTGCAGCGACGTGATCTGGCAGCGAGGCCTGCTGCGGAAGGGCTACGGGGTCTGCCACGGGACCGCTGGGAACGGCTACTCCTTCCTCTCGCTTTACCACATCACGCAGGATAAGAAGCACCTCTACCGAGCTTGCAAGGTACCAGCGCGTCTGTCCAGACAGCTCTTGATCCCCGCGGGGCACACACAGCCCAAACGGCTCTCCGGCTTCAGACACGCTGCGCCCAGCTTGCAGTGTCTTCCACGCAGCCGTGTCCCTGCTGGCCCTCTGATTCCCTCTGTGCAGTGGGACTGGGGAGTGGAAATGCACTCCGCCGTCCCACAACCTGGCAAGAGTGCCTTCCTGTGCGTTTATTAGTCTCATGACTTTAGGACGTCCCTTCTTTAAGCCTCAACTGCAAAAATACTCTCCGCCTCCTAAATTTGTCCCAAGAAAAATGAATCGTGATAATGGGCAGATCATCAGTAGGTGCCCCTGCTTAAAGTCCTCAGAACCCACGCCCCCCACACCCCACACTGGAGGACCCGTATGCCTCTGCCATCGCCCGCCTCTTGCCTCGCCCCGTGCTCCACACTGCCGCCTCACCCCCGTGCTCCCCGTGGAGCACAGCGGGTCTGGGGCTCCCCTGAAATCTGCCTGGTGGAGAGGACCCCAGTGATGGAGCTGCTGGTCACCGCAGGGTGCTCCCCTTGCTCCTGGTGGGCCACGCCTCGACCATGAGCCGGGACAGTGCCTGGCCCCGAGTAGAGACTGACAGATATGCATTGGGTGTTTGAAAATGAATGCACAAAGCAAGACTCAGTAAACATTTGCTATACACATTTCACAAAGTAGAGCTATGAAGACACTGGAGAAAAAGATGGGAAGAAAATACACCAAGATGTACAAGACCATGGGTAGATGGAGGCATTCGGGGTGGCTTGTTTTTTATATTTATTACTATTCCGAAGGCTTTTCTTAAAGCAGCTGAAATAGAGCCGTGGTGCCCACACTCACAAAGGCCGTGCGCACGGGGTGTTGTGGGGGTCCTGGGGGCAGGTGATGGCCCAGGAGTGTCATGTAAACTGAGACCCAGAGGGGAGCTGGGAACTTGGCTGGGGTGGGGGGTGGGAGCGGAGCTGTCCGCAGAGGGAGCTGGAGGGGTGAGCACCCCGGGGCCATGACGTCCCATTGGCCCGAGCAGAGACATGAGGGGCAGCTTAGGGTGACATCAGTCACAGCGGCAGATGGGCAGGAGGCTGTGGGGGTTGGGGAAGACTTCACACGGAGGGAGCACAGCTAGTTTTCTAAAGATGTAGAGCTTTTCAGGTGGGCCAGCAAAGCGTGGCTTGGAGAAGGAGTGTCTGTCCCGTAGGAGGAGAGCGCCTGCAGAACCCTGGAGGCAGGCCCAGCCAGGGCAGCCCGACACTCTAAGTGCCCAGTGTTGGGGGTGCGGGGTGAGGGATGAGTGGGAAGGGCAGAGGCCAAAGAAAGCTAGTCCTCCCCCGGTCAGTGGATCTCAGCTTTGGGCACACTTTAGACTCACTGGGAGCTTGAGTGCTGAAAAGCTCTCACACTGAAGAGGGCCTGGACCCCAGCCCAGATCCGCTGACTCAGGAGCCCAAGCCTGTGGTCCCAGCACCTGTGGGTCTCGCCGCCAGCCCCCTGAGTCCTCATCTGTAAGGAAGGGCTTCACGAGGGTTTGTGATTCACGTTCCGTCTTCTCTCTCGAAGGATCACCATGGCTGCAGTGGATGGATGAGGTAGAGGTAAACAATCTGGGTTTCTCCAAATTGTTGCTTGGTAATTAATGGTGGCTAAGAATCTGCCTTCCAGTTCAGGGGATGTGGCTTTGATCCCTGGTCAGGAAACTAAGATCCCATATCCCACACTCAGAGCAACTAAGCTGGCGTGCTGCACCTCCTGAGCCAGTGTACTCTGGAGCCCGAGCACCCCAGCTGTAGAGTTTGTGTACCCTAGTGCTGCCACTAAGACCCAATGCAGCCACACAACCAGGTCACTAAATATTTTTTAAAAAGTGGAAATGTAGAGTTACAAACCAGGGATACTGGCTATGATACTAAAGAGAGATTTAGAAACACTTAGGATGTTGAGACCACAGAATTTGGTGGATTTTTTTTTAATGTGGAGAAGACAGAAATGTATGAATATCTCTTCCTGATGTCTGACTAAGAAAACCAGATAGATAGTGCATCAAAAGAGCTAGAAGTGTGTGAGGGTTTGGAGGGTAGAAAGCAGCATGAGTTTTATTATAATGTTACAAAAATCCACTGAAGAAGTTTCAGAAGGAAGGGTCAGAGAGCTCAGAGAGGAGTTGCTGAGAAAGCTAAGGAATGTGTTTCGAGAGGAGTAGGGTGGGCAGTGGGAGGCCCAGGGGCTCAGTGGGGAAAGCGGGGAGAGGGGGGCACGCTGCACATTGAGCAACAGGGGTCAGCATGCGGGGGCTTCCGTCTGCACAGAGAGCCTGCCAGGCCGGGAGGCAATGCCTGGAAGAGACAGAGGGCTGTGAGCTGTGTGCTTTCCACTGCAGTCTTCCCAACAACCTTCCTGGGTAAAGCCTCCCTCACAGATGAGGAAACAGGCCTGGACAGGTGACAGGACTTGCCAGGTCTCACCTCCTTAGAAGAGGCCGTGCTAAGTTCCCCCCAGGCCCACACTGCTGGCCGCTCTGTTGCCTGGGCGTCTGGCCTTTGATTCTTGGTGAATTCACTACAGTGTCTTATTAGTTCCGTTTCCACCAAGTGAAACCCCACTCTTAAAAATAAATGTCTTTCTTCCTAGTTTGCCGAGTGGTGTCTAGATTATGGAGCACATGGCTGCCGAATTCCTGACAGACCCTATTCTCTCTTTGAAGGTAAGAGTGAACGAAACTCCAGGTTCAAGCCTCTGGCTGCATGTGTTTGGTCCTCCTGGCTCTGTGCGCCATCGCAGTTGATCTTACTTAGTGATCGGTGCAAAGCTGGCAAATACCAGGAGCAAAGTCATTCCTTGCTGAAAACTATTCTGAGTCTCTTTACCCTGCCTATTTGTGCTCCTGTGAACCTCTTCCATGTATTTTTAGATCTTTTGTGAAGTATATACGCATAGACTATTTGCTGCTTTGTGATGGAAAAAATAATAAGTTTTTCCTCTGCATTTCACCATGCATATAGGATTGATCTGTTCCCAGCAACCTTGGTTAGTTATTTAGATACAATTTAATTATTTAAGTCATATAAAGAAGCATAAATAATTAATATTAGTAATTTAAAAGTATTAGTAAGTAAAACTATTAGTACTTGGAAAAATAATAAGAAAATTCCGAAAAACAAGAGTGGTGAAAGAAACCAGCAGACACATTAAGAGTCTGCTGCAGGCACAATGCATAGAATATAATTCAGGAAAACCAAATAGAAGTCCTGCAGAGATTGAGATATTCTTCTAACATAAGTTGCAGAAACTAAGGGCAAAGGTTAAATGGGGTTGGGATAAATTGGTGGTGATTTTTTAATTACTTTAGGGCTACATTTTATAGTAATTCCAAAGTAAATTCCAGAAGGAATAAATGAATATTCATAAAAAAATCAAATAATAGATGAGTGTTGAGTTTTGTCAAATACAAAGCTGATAAGATCATGTGATTTTTCTCTTCAACTTCCTAGCACTGTGAATCACATTGGTTCATTTTGAAATATTAAGCCAGTCTTGCATGTCTGGAATAAAGCTTACTTGGCCGTGGTGTACGGTGCTTTTTATGTATTGCAGAATTGCATTTGCTAATGTTTTGTTGGTGGTTTTTGCGTCTGTGGTCATAAGGAATGTTTGCCTGTAGCCGTCCATTTGTGTACTGTCACTGTCTGCTTTGCTGTCTGGGCGATACTGGCCTACTAAATTGATGTTTTCTCTGTTTTCTGTAATAGACTATATATTAATTGGCAGAAGAATTCTGGTTTAAATGTTTGGTAACATTCTTCCTCAAAACCTTCCTAGCCTACAGATTTCTTTTTCAAGAGTCTTAAATTTATGAACTTAATCTGTTTAATAGTTTACCAGGCTGTAAGTTATCTATTTCATATTCAATGAGTTTTGTTAGTTTGCATTTTTAAGATATTGCTCCATTTCACCTGTGGGGTCAAATTTATGTGCATAAAATTTTGGTAGTATCCCTTCACTATCTTTTTGATGTTTTGAATTGTCTGTAGTGATATGTCATGTTTTATTTCTACTATTGATAATATTTTAATCATATAATAGATAAATGAGCAAAACTTAGAGCATTTGTCATTATCTTTTGCAAAAAAAGATCTTTTTTAGTATTCACAGATTTTATAATGAAAAAATGTTTCTCGGGATAAAAATTTTCATCATGTCATAAAAATGAGTTGTATCAGACATAACAGAATAACCTATGTGTGTGTGTGTGTGTGTGTATAGAAATAACAGAATAATAGATATAACGTTAACTGTAAATGATTTATTCAGGTTCATAAATTCAAGTTTATAAATGGCAAATTCAAAGCCCCAGTGGGTGAAAATCTTTGAATGTTCCCTGCCTAGAGGCTGGGAAGCTCTCAGATTCTTCTGGACCCTGTGCCTGACAAATGCCTGGCAAGAGACACCAATAACTCAGTTCTAGTCAGATGGTGAGTGGCTGTGTGGAGGCCACGAGGCTGACAGGGCCCCCAGCACTTGGGACCCTTTCTGCAGGAGTTCCCTCTAACCAGGGGTTCCTTCGGGTAGGCTACTGAGTTACTGCAGTGATTGGCGGTGGGGATTTTAACCAGGCAAGTAAGGTTTGTTCTAAATAGTATTTTTAAAACCTAAGGAAAATATAAAATGCAGCTTTATGTTTAAAATAAAAACATAAAGACTCTGAGAGGAAGTTTACATGTTGGAATATCACAATAGCAATGCCCTTAATTTTTTTGTTAGCAGTTCTATGAAATCACCATAAAATGTCAAGATGCAAGATTTAAAAATAAGATAGTGAAGAAAACCTCCTGTGTGCTAATATAAGGATTTTCCATTTGTGTATGTGAAGTTATTTTTAAAGTCCTCACTACCTTTCCCCACATCCTTACAGCCCCAGTAAAGGCAGTGATTAAAGCTCACTTGGTTTGGGACCCCACCACACACCATTTTTTTCATGATGGATCACGTTGTTCATTGCAGGCATGGCTGGCACTGTTCACTTCCTCTCCGACATCCTGGCCCCAGAGGCATCACGGTTTCCAGCATTTGAACTCAGCTCTTCACAGAGGGATACAAAGGTTCAAAAAGACTACTAAGAGAGCTGACTGGACCAGAAGCCACCAGGTTGCTTAGCCCCTGACACAGAACCAACTGGGAATCCTGAAAGCGGGAGAAGCAACAGCAGCAGGCCTCGTCCTAGACGCCCGTGTCGGAGTGTGATGGCCGGCCGCCCCAGCAGCATTGTGCGACCGTGCCCCTCGCTGGCGCACGGTGTGAACCCTCCACGTCCAGTTCTCCGTCGTGTGTGCATGTCTCCTGGTGTTTGCCGTCTGTAGGTGTAGGTTGTTGTAAACAGAAGCCCTTCCCTGTCCTTGAGCCCGAGCTGGCTGTGCATGAGGGCACACGGCACCCACTTCTCTGTACATACTGTTTAAAGTGAGGCGTTTTCTGTATTGGCAAACAAGGAAATAGGCAGGTGGTGTCTCTTACATAACAGAATTCTCCACAGTGATGTCCCGGTGGTAAAACTTTGCAGCATTTTCTGTGTGTGCCTTGCGGATGAGCATGAGAGAAAGACCACTCCAAAATGAAAACAATAAAGCAGGGTTGCTGAAGTAGGGGGTGGAGAGCCTGTCCACAGAGTCGAATGTCCCCTGTTTGTGTGCTGTGCCCTCAGTGTTTATAAGAAGGAGAGGGGGCGCGTTCCAGCATTGTCCCCTGCTGGGACTCCCTTCCTCAGGCTTGCTGTGTGAAGTTCTAGCCCCTCCTCACAACCCACGGCAGCCTGGGCCCTGAGGAGCAGACCCGTGACACCAGGGCCATTCGGGGGAGCCTTTCCATGGCCACATTGTAAATCAAGTAGCAGCGACTGAGGGCTGCAAGTCTCGGTTCAGTGTGTGTTATTAAAACAGACTGCACCGCAGTTTTATCAGCATTATGACGTAGTGCTGTAAGTTCAGTGGATACAATTCCAGATACGTTATTCCCATGTTCAACTTTTTTCACAACTTGGTAAGTTATCAAAGTACAAATTTGGGATGGATATAGTCTTTATTTTTGTCTGTTATTCAGGTGGTAGAAATCTCACATTTGATGAAATGTATTAAGCATAAAGTACTAGTCTGTATCTATGCATATGGGAAACAGTTCTAACCAAGAAAATTACACTGTCTGTCTGACGTTTTTTGTTTTAAAACTGGGCATTAACTTGGGTTAGCATACCCTCAATAATTTTACCATGTAGATCTGTCTTTAGAAGAGCTTTGTTGTCATGGTATGAATGGTCTGAGACTTTCTACAGACTTCTTATTTATGGGCTAAGACCTGATCATAGAAGACAAGGTAGATCTCTGATGATCTGGTCCTTGTCTACAAGGGGTTGTCAAATGTTTATCAGCCCTGGTTTCCACTCCTTTCATAAAGGAGGAAGAAGAATGTCCGAGTAGAAGACACGTTCCTTTGCATATGTGCAGTTCTCGGGATGCCAAGCCTTGTTTGTGGGGCTAACACCCTAACATGTGCCCTTTCATTTCTAAATGATGCCTCATGCATCTCTTCATTTTCTGACACTCACTTCTGTGTCATAACTGTTTTTTAAGTTAGTGTGATGACTTCCGTAGGTATAAATCCTCATGATTGTATATTCTAACCGCTTCCTGGGTCTCCTCATGTGCTTCCTAGGCAGCCCAGTTCCCCAGGACCCATAGGTGGGACTGGAGTGGGTTGGGCTATTGTCAGAAAAGCTCATTTGATGTCAGCCCACATACACCATTCCCACCTCAGCCAGACCTCAGTGGCAGCCCTCCAGGCCTCAGCATGGAGTTATATCCAGGCTGGCTTATTTCCCAAGGGAGGCCAGAGTAGCTGCACGGGAATCACCCCACTTGGCAAGAGGGAGCAGCTCGTGGAAACCCTGGTTCTGGCCACGTCTCCTGACCAGAAGCAGTGAGGGTGACGCTTGTTACCTGGGCATCTTGCCTTGTGTGTTCAACTTGCTTCTGCCTAACACACTGAGGAAAGAGAGAGCACTTGTAAGGTGAATGGAGGATCTGTTATTTACAGGGCTTGTTTAGAAGCCTGCTTACCTGCTAGATGTGTTAACACAGCTCAGTCTGTGACTCCTAGTGGTGACACAGGCTCCAGTTCCCCGAAGAAAAAAGACACCCACAGCTGATGTAGTGGTTCTGATAGTGTGTGAATTTGGATTTCAGAGCATTTCAGTGATTTCTCAGATTTGTTTTCTCCAAAATGTGTCTAAGCTTTTAAAATAATGTGTATGCACAATTCCATTTCAAAATTTGAAAAAGTTGATGTCCACAAAAAGTGTGTGGGGTGCTCTAGTTCAGTTCTTAGTAAACACAGTTCTGTTGTGACACTTGTGGGGTCCTCTGTTCTCACCTCTCTGCCTTCAGGAGCTATGGTTGGGAGCCTTGGTCACCATTGTGAAGGCTGCCTTCCCCATAGAATATGTGGTGACTGCTTGTGTTGTGATGTCCCAGATAGTTCACTAGAATAAGAGCTTGCTTTTTTCACTCCAAGGCCCTCCAGAACCTGGGTGAATCTAAGAGAAGCCTGTCTTGAGCTTGCATGTGTAACAGGCCTTTGCATTCACAGTTGCCCCAAACAGTCAACAGCGTGTCAGGATCACGGCATGGCTAGGCAGGTTATGGCATGGCTGGGGGGGTCACTGCATGCCTGGGGGTGGGCACTGCACTCATGACTGTTTCCCAGTGAGGACACTGATGGCCTGCCCGTGGTCACAGCTGGGATGAGGGGTAGTTCTTGCCCGTGGCCAAACCTGTGACTTGTACTCAGCACTTTCTCTCCCATGTGCCCAATACAGAAGCTGAGAAAGTGAAGCCTGAGAGAAGCCCTGTCATCTCCCCCCTGCTTTCTGGGCCCCTTGAACCATTCGGAGCAGTCCCAAACAATTCTTAACTTTGTGAGGCAGTCTTACAGCTGTTATTTCATTTGCTAAATTCACAAAAGCAGTACTCAGGTGTGAAGTCCAGGTTCCCTAAACGTTTTTGTAAACTCTCTTTACTCCTTCCCTGTCTCTTTGCTGAAGCTTAAAAGGGGCCCTTCCAAGTCTGAATTTTTTACACATCACGTCTGGAGGAGAGCCAGGTGTCATTTCCAGCACAACTGTCACCGCGATGCCTGTCACCCTTCTGTCGGACTGGCCACTGGCCCTGGCAGGCTGTGCTGCATCATTGCTTTTCCTGATCAGAGGAAGATGGCAGGCTCCTTCACAGCCTCTGCTCCATGGAGTTAGGCCACTGGATCACTGGGGCTATAAAGATGTCCAGTCTGCATCGCAAGTGCCACTGCACCCCCTTCCTTCTCCCACTTGGAGGTGGGAGGCTCAGTTCCTCCCAGCGAACGTTTGTTCCCACGTGCGGCATGCTAGGCCTCACGCTCAGTGCTGACAGTGAGGCGCTAACCCGCCTCCTGCAGCTCACAGCCTCCGTTGAACACCTGCGGGAAGTGAGCAGGCTGGAGCTCAGGCTCAGGTCTAGCCTCCTTTGGCAGGACCTCGGACAGCTCCTCGGCGTGTGGGCGGGGCTTGTGACCAGCGTGCACTTCCTGGTCCCAGCAGGAGGGGACCACAGGTAAGCTGACCAGGTCAGCCTTGCAGTGAGATGCCTCTGGCTTGAGGTTATGCTGGCCCTTGTCATCCAGTAGCCTGTGGAATGGAAGTCAAGAGCAGAGACTATGGAACCTGGATGTGTGGAATCTGGGCTCTGCTACTTGTATGAATTTGGACAAGGAATTTCCTCCTGAGCTTTTCTATGTAATCAGGACAACCTTATTTGGTTAGTGGGAGAATTAGAATGAAATAACAAATGGAGGAAACACCTAACACATGAAAGTGCTCTATGATGGGGTAGATGAAGGGGTGGGTGTGGTGCTTTTGTGTGGAGAAACGGGCTCACTCTCCTGAGTAAAAATGAAAATCCCAGATCTGTCCAGCTCCAAAATCCCAAGCCTATCCTCAGTCCCTTTCAGCCAGCTGTTTGTTTACACTGTGTTTGGGCACCCGCTGCGCCAAGGTCCTTCAAGGGGAAGAGTTGCCTCGGGGGCAAGGAGGAACCAAACCACAATTTCAGGCTTACACCACACCTAAAAGTTCAGAGGCTGGGTTTTCTGTTTCTCTGGCCTGTTCTTTGTTTAAAGGCCCTGGAGATCTTCCCACTTTTGTACCAGGTAGACTCCTGTGGCTTTCATGGGATCATCCAACAGATGCAGTCCTGGTCATGTGTTAACAGGGACCCTACTGCATTCCTTAAAGTATCGTTCATGAGAATAAAACAGGTACCAAAGTGGCATAATCATAAATCTACCCATAATCATGTAAATAACCCCCACAGTCCCAAGAACTGAGGGGCCTGTTTTTCAAGCCATTTCCTTAGGCCATGGGGAAGTTATCAAGTGCTTTATGCTTGGCTGCAGGACACTGAAAGGGAGGGTTGTGAACAAGGACAGACTTGCTCCCAGAGTCTCTCCAGTAACAAGGAGGACCACACTCCCTACAGCTGAACAGAAAGTTCTGAGACCTTTTCTGCCTGAAGGATGCCATTGTTCTGACACTTAGATCATAGATTGCCTCGAGAATTCTGCACTGGAAGTCACTTTCCTCCTGAAATTTCAAGGTATCATACTGACTTCTAGCTTGAAATGTTAGCTCTGAGAACCTCAAAGTCATAGTTATTCTTGTTTCTTTGTGTTCAGTCTTGTGTTTTGATGTGATTACTCTGCAAGTTGTAGAATTTTTCTCTCTGTCATGATAATGAGCTTAGTTCTGGGTTCTTGGTAGGCCCTTCCAATCTAGAAACTCTGTGTTTCAATTCTAAGAAATTTTCTTGAATACTTTCTTTTTTAAAAAAAATTTTTTTTTTTTTGGCTTTTTCTCCTCTGCATTTTTGCTTTCTTCTCTAAGAGATTGCAACTTTATTTTCAAAGACTTCTATTGTGTCTTTATTTCCAGGTGTTTTTCTTGTCCTTAGGGTATTTTTTGTGTATGTCTTCTTATTTCTTATTGCAGTATCTTATCTCTTTGAGGATGTTAATTTATTCAGCACATAGTCATTATGTGCTTATTCAGTGCCATACATTTTTCTAGGCACTTGGAATCCATGAATGATCAACACAGTCAAAAAAATCTCATCTTGTGGACTTTGTGGTATAGCAGAGAGACAATAAGTCTAGATAAAGCAATTTTTCTCCTATGTTGTAAGATATTAAGTAATAATAAGATATAATAAAGCAAGAGACTGACATGCTGGAGAGAACACACATTACTGTTTCAAGCAGGGTGGTCAGAGTGAGATTAGAGACAGTGACAGGTGAGCCAAGACTTGAAGTTCATGGAGTTGGCCAGACGAGTGTCTGGAAAGAGCATCAGGCAGATGGTGTGCCCTGCTCAAGAGCAGAGACAGGACAGTGGGGAGGGAAGGCCATTCTAAAGACTCTTGACTTTTACTCTGGGTAAAGCACAGAGTCACTTGAGGGTTTGTGCAAAGGAAGGATGTTATCTAATTTATGTCTTGAAGTAGTCACCCTGAGAAAATGCTGGGAGGATGCAGGGAAACCAAGGGCTGGTCCGGGAGAGAAACCATGTGGCTTGGCGAGAATGGTGGGACTCTCAGTTCAGTTCAGTTCATTTCAGTTGCTCAGTCCTGTCCGACTCTTTGCAACCCTATGGACTGCAGCAAGCCAGGCCTCCCTGTCCATCACCAACTCCTGGAGTTTACTCAAGTTCATGTCTATCAAGTCAGTAATACCATCCAGCCATCTCATCCTCTGTCCTCCCCTTCTCCTCCTGCCCTCAATCTTTCCCAGCATCAGGGTCTTTTCAATTGGGTCAGCTCTTCGCATCATGTGGCCTAAGTATTGGGAGTTTCAGCTTCAACATCAGTCCTTCCAATGAACACCCAGGACTAATTTCCTTTAGGATTGACTGGTTGGATCTTCTTGTAGTCCAAGGGACTCTCAGGAGTCTTCTCCAACACCATAGTTCAAAAGCATCAATTCTTCAGCGCTCAACTTTCTTTATAGTCCAACTCTCACATCCATACATGACTACTGGAAAAACTGTAGTCATGACGGGCTAGACTAGATGGACCTTTGTTGACAAAGTAACATCTCTGCTTTTTAATATGCTGTCTAGGTTGGTCATAACTTTCCTCCCAAGGAGTAAGCATCTTTTAATTTCATGGCTACAGTCACCATCTGCAGTGATTTTGGAGCCCAAGAAAATAAAGTCAGCCACTGTTTCCCCATCTATTTGCCATGAAGTGATGGGACCGGATGCCATGATCTTAGTTTTCTGAATTTTGAGCGTTAGGCCAACTTTTTCACTCTCTTTCACTTTCATCAAGAGGCTCTTTAGTTCTTCTTTGCTTTCTGCCCTAAGGGTGGTATCATCTGCATATCTGAGGTTATTGACATTTCTCCTGGCAATCTTGATTCCAGCTTGTGCTTCATCCAGCATGGCATTTCTCAATATAAGTTAAATAAGTAGGGTGACAATATACAGCCTTGACTTACTCCTTTTCCTATTTGGAACCAGTCTGTTGTTCCATGTCCAGTTCTAACTGTTGCTTGTGACCTGCATACAGATTTCTCAAGAGGCAGGTCAGGTGGTCTGGTATTCCCATCTCTCAGAATTTTCCAGTTTATTGTGATCCACACAGTCAAAGGCTTTGTCATAGTCAATAAAGCAGAAATAGATGTTTTCCTGGAACTCCCTTGCTTTTTTGATGATCCAGCGGATGTTGGCAATTTGATCTCTGGTTCCTCTGCCTTTTCTAAAAGCAGCTTGAACATCTGGAAATTCACAGTTCACAAATTGCTGAAGCCTGGCTTGGAGAATTTTGAGCATCACTACTAGCATGTGAGATGAGTGCAATTGTGCCATAGTTTGAGCATTCTTTGGCATTGCCTTTCTTTGGGATTGGAATGAAAACTGACCTTTTTCAGTCCTGTGGCCACTGCTGAGTTTTCCAAACTTGCTGGCATATTGAGTGCAGCACTTTCACAGCATCATCTTTTAGGATTTGAAATAGCTCAAGTAGAATTCCATCACCTCCACTAGGTTTGTTCTCGGGATGCGTCCTAGAGCCAGTAGGATTCCTGACAGCCAGGTGCAGAGCATGGAAGAGCCGGCAGAGTTAGAGTGCCCAGGCCTTGGAAAGGAAGTTGCCTACAGCTGAGATGTGGAAGAAGCCACTGGGGGGATCAGAGTCTGCTTAGGCATGTGGAGTGTGAGGTGGCCTGACTGCTGGAGTTGGGAGGGAGATCTGGGAGGGAACTGTCACTTTGGAGTCACTTGCATATTGATTATTTACACCTGTAAGCTGGATGAGCTCACCAAGAAGGTGAGGGTGAAGGGAACAGGGAAAGCAGAGCTTGCAGCATTAAGAATCCAAAGTCGTCCCTGGGTAGGGGTCTGTGTTCCTGGAGCCAGTGAGGAAAATGCAGTGTGCAGCGGAGTGATTGGCTGTTTCAGATGATCCTGATAAGTGAAAACCTCAGAATTGGCCATTGCATTCATCACCCCGAGGACCTTAATGAATTGGGGAGCAGAACAGACAACACTAAAGGAGCTTTGTTGCAGAAGAGAGGAAAGAAATGGGGCCATAGTTTTAAGAGAAATAGGATCAAGAAGAAAACTTTTTTCTTCAGAAAAATAACAGCATGTTTGTAAATCAGTGTGATCCAATGAGGGCTTTTGTTAAAAGTGATGCAGAACAGAAAGGGATGTTTGTGGAGTGATGTCTTCGGGTAGGCAGAGGAGATCAGAGCTGGCATCAGGCGTCTGCTCAGCCAGAGAGGAGCCTGCGGGTAACAGACGGGTGCAGAGGCAGAGGGTGGGTGGCGGTGGGGCGAGCTGTGGAAGTCCTCTGGCTTGTTCGCTTGTCTTGGTGACGTGAGAAGTGAGGCAGCATCTGCTGAGTGAAGATGGAGGGAGACAAGCTGTGGGATGTGAGGAGAGGTGAGAAAGTGTGAATGTTGCCCAGGAGAATGGGAAAGGGGAGGAGGGGCTCAGACTTCACCAGCAGTTCCAGGGAGGGTTTGTTAGGACATGGATTGCTGGGGTTGTCTGATTTAGTAGGGCTGGGGTGTGACCTGAGAATTCATTTTCTGACAACTGCCAGGCTGAGCTTCCCTAGGGACCCCAGACTTGAGGAGTGCATACTCTCAATTCTCCTCTTGGTTGCTTCAGAAGGACCAGTCTGGATATGCTGGGATGAATCAGCGGGAGGGGAAGAGGGGTTTTCCCAGCCACATCCCACTTGCTTTTTAGTTTATCTGAATTCCCATTCCTATTTGTTGGCTTTAGTTTCTATCTTTCATGTTAGAGGGTCGGTCTACTAGTTTTATGCTGCAGAAGCTGGTTGGAAATTCTGGTCCAAGTGGTGTTGAGTGGCCTGGATCATCCAGTTGGGGAAGCACTGGGACGGGTGTCTGGGATCCATCATTCCCTGCTGAGCAGCCCCCCAGTGAGGAAGAATGGACAGCGTCCTCTCTGATGGTGCTGCAACCATCACCTCGCTCTCCTGTCCTCTGGGTCAAAGGTCAGAACTCCACCCAGAAAAGAAGGCCCCAG